GAGGTCCCTGCCACCCTGCTCAGTCGGAGCCTAGGCACCGGTTGGATCGATAAGCAGCCTAGGATTGGCAATCAGCCCTTCTCCAGCGATTCGAGCACACACCAACAGCAGCATTCGTTAGATCCAAGAACCTATTGTTTTGAGGCGCAAAGCGAGGTAGGCTTCTTCTGGACCTGGAATCATATGCTGCCGAGGAAGTGGCGTGGCCAATTAACCGGTGACGAAGCCTTCCAGGACGGTATGTTGGAGGACTTCAGACGCTTCTGTTCGGGAGCGGACGACCGTCTGGCCTCATTACTCAGCGACTATCGGGCCAAGCAGCAGCAGCAGCGTTACAGTTCTTGACAGAAGAGCATCGTGCTTTCCTTTTCACCTAACTTTTGAGCCCACTTTTGCACTATATTCTGATTCTGACCTCAAAGTTATTTTTTTTCAAAATAGATATATTCATAAACTGCTTGATATGCAACAATTTCCGTCTTTGTTCTCTTCTTGGTTAGTTGATTCTCTAATTTCTGGTAAAACTGCTCATGCAAAAGCTAGTTAGAGCACGATTGTCAACCGAGAATTGTAGATCATGCCTTGGGAGTGAAAATTCTCACAAGACGTGTCGTCAAAGTAGCGTCGTCTTAAAAGTGGTATTTCTTTTTTATTAAATATGGTTCCTCAAACAACCGCATGTAGTACTTCATAGACAAACTGATAGAGTTGCGTACGATAATTAACCTATATAAGTAAGCAGTTAGCTACTTAAAGAAGAAAGTTGAGAGGAGAAAATATTTGGATTCAGTGGCCGCTGATTCATGTGGGAGAGTGGTCGGGCCCGTCACGGGGTAAAGGGCAAGTGCCAATAGAAGTGAATATGCGAGTTCCAGGAAGCAGTTCAGAAGAAGCAGAAGATGCGATCACTGGACGAAGTTTTATTTTCCTGACGTTTTGGATTCTGTCGAGAATCCTTAATCATAGGTAATGGTAGGATAGTCTGAGCCATGCGCAGATAAGGATGGGCAATCTCAGCTTGGTGGGGGGAACTAAATGGTCAACAGAAAATACGATTGGTATATTACGCAGACGTTGTTGGGACATGCTGTAGCTCCGTTTAGGCGTGCCCACTGAAGATTTTTTCGTCGATTTTCGAATTTTTTTCCCCTACTCAATAACTTTGTGGAACTGGGTTGGATGTGTACTTATTACTCTCGAATAAGCGCCTAAGCTAGTAAATTATCGTCTAGCACTCCAGGCTTTCCAAAGGGAACTACTAAATGGGCGAGATCATAGATCATATCAACACGGTGGCACTTGGGTGAGCATCTTTCTGGATACTGGTGTTAGTTCAACTGTCCAAAATTGGTGTAGGTTTAATAATTTTATGTTAATGATGCTAAATAAACGCACCTCTTCTGTCTTTTGGAAGC